CACGCGTGCATGATCAGGAGTAATATATTCAAATGTTACTGTTCAAGTGAATTATAATTCACTTGAACAGTGAAATGCAAGGAATGGAATTGCATGCACAGGAACGCGGGGAGCAAACCTGGTGGCGGAAACGATGCTTGGAGACGACAGTGATGGCGTACGCTCGCGAAGATGCAGGTGGCGGTCGAGTGGAGGATGGCTGGGACGGTGGTCAGTGGCTGTGTGGTCCGGTGACAGTTGTTGTTTTCTCTTCTTCTTCCCTGTATAGAGACGTTGCTTCTTCTCTTTATTTCCTTTGCTCCCTCTGTCAACGATGTTCTTCTCTTTCTTCAGCAGCTTCGTGGAGATGCTGGTGGCAACGGCCTAGGGAGTGGCTTGGACGGTGGTCAGCCCTTCTTCCTGTGCGTTTTTCTCTTCAGCTCTGTTCTCCTCTGCTTCCATTTCCTCCCTCTACTTTTCGCGGGGCTGTTGTCGACTGAGAGGGCAGTGGTAGCTGGTGGCGGTGGAGGGGATGTGCCCTGTTCCTGGTGGTGTTTCTATGTTCGTGCTCCAGGTGGCGTTGGTGTCTCGGCGGCTGGCGGTGCAGCTGGGAAGGAGAAAACCAGAAATGATGAAAAACATGGGAGAAAGGCTGCTTTTGTGTCAACTTTGCACCAGATTTCCTCCTCCCTCTAGTCATGAAATTTGCTCCTATTTATAGGGATGGAAAGAGAGTAATCTTTTCTTCAACGAGGAAAAATTATCATCCCTTTATTCGACTCGAGGAATCCAAGCCGTTGGTTCAAAGTGTGCACCTTGAACTGCCAAATTTGGTAGTTCAGGGCTGCAGACTGCACGAGGTTGCCAATTTGGGCCAATAAACGGAGTCGTTTCAAAGTTTTTCGACCCAACCAGATCATTCTCGGGGATAGAGAGGTTTCAGGTGGACATTTTGATGCAGGTTTTGTTGGGTTTGGGGGCCAAACGAGACAGAAAATGCAAGTGAAAAGCAGCTACTCGGGCAACTTTGTGGGGAAGAAGATGAACAGTAACCAAGCGACGGGTCACCTAATCCCTGCCCTTTTTTTAAAAAAAACACAAGAACGGCGCCGTTTTGGATAAAAAATTAGAGATTTTTGCTATTTTACATTTCATCCTCCAGCTTTCAATTTCTTTCAATATAATTCTCTAATTGACCCTAAACTTCTAATTTAATGCAATGTGGTCCCGGCATAACTTCAATTTCAGCCCCAGATTTACGTGTCTTTTGCAATATGGTCCTTGGTCTCGGATTTATACAGTTTCGTCCCTGATTAACCATAAACCTTCAATTTCTTCAATTTGACCGCCGGATTTTGTCAATTAGACCCCTATAGTTCGGGGCCTTTTGCAGATCGGTTCTTGGCTTTGGATTTTGTCAATTTAACCCCTAATTGGCCCCAAAACTTCAATTTTCTTTCAATTTGACCCCTGATTTCAATCAATTAACTTGGTAAAAATTAAATTTGGTCTCTTAAAATTTCAATCTTCTCAATTAAGCCCAAATTAGGCTCCTAAACTTAATGTTTTCACCAATTAAGCCCCAAATAAAATTAATTTGACTCATTTAAAGTATAATTAAGTCCTTACACTTAATTAAATCCTTCATTTGGACCTAAATTAATTCTTAAACATTATTAAAATTTAATTTGGCCCATGATTAAATCAAATTGGCCTATTAAAAATTTAATTATGTTATTGGACTTAATTTTTATGCAAATTTGTCCAATAATCATTTAATTTGACCTTGAATTTATATTTTTTTTCTCCAATTTTGAGCACAATGGGGCGCTAATAGGTCTTGAATCTCCTCTGAAAATTACAGCTTGATTTTTGCCTATTTTTGCAGTCTTTCTAGATCAGCTTTCTCCATATTGCTAGCCTTTATTTTATTTTTTGATTCTTATTTTGAAAAAAAGTGAAATTGAGGAAATAACCCAGAATTGGGTTATGAAAAATAGTATAACACAAGAGACCCTTAATAATTTAAGACAAAATCAGTAATGTAGTCTACCTCAAGTAGGATATTTTAGGGGTGATAATACCTTCTATTTTACGTAATTAATCTCAGACCATAAAAGTTTTGTTAACCAATTAGAGTTCTTGGTGACCATAATACCAGGTGAAGACTCCTCAAACAAGACCTTCCCTTATAAAAACAAGATGCCATATATTTGTTTATTTTTCTAATTTTTAAAAGTCATCATGATGTTGAGTGTGACATTAAGGACTAAAAAAATAAGAGAAATAAGTTTTTTATAGCAAAATTAAATTACATAAATCTTAAGGGATTGAAGAGGTATAATATGTAAAGTTTGAACACTGGAGTGAACTTTTTGTGAGAACTTTGAAACCATCACTCATTTATAGCACATTTCAAATTTGGTCCATAGTTTTTCAATTTTGTTTGTAGCCAACAAATTTAATTCCATTATCCTTTAATTTGGTGAAAAATGATGCCATTTTTTTTTAAAAAAAATTTTAAGACCAAATAATTTTTTTTTCTAACAATGAGTGCATGGTAAAATGTAATAAGATGAATAATACACATATATATAGTGTTTTGGCCGCAACAATATGAGTTTTGTATAATAATATAATAATATGAGCCTTCATATTTTAACGAACATATACACTGGAATAATGATAAATTTGATATACAATTACCTTCCTTATGATATGCTAGCGATTATATAAATGCTACGGTATGACCATTATATAAATTTAGGTTGGTGTTGCATTCAATTTGGATTTTGCTTATGTTTTCAAAAATTTCCTTTCTTTTTATTTTTATTTTCAAAAACCAAACTGAAATTATTCAAAACAAAACCTTTCTTCATCAGATTTAGATGGAACTAGATAGGTGACTCACTTTATAGTACGAGACAAATCAAAATTTCCCTAATGTAAAAAAAGGATGTTTAGGTGATGGTGAAGTTTTTAAAGAAGAAAGAAATCGGAGATCCAGATTATTAACTTGACTGAGGCCAATAAACTCAATTTACTTAATAATATGATAAAAAAGGCATCAAAAGTAAATAAAGCAATATAAAATAATAATAGTTAACTATAAAAAATAAATTGTCAATATCATATTCAAAAGAAAAGGAAATAAAAGTTTGTTTGAAATTCATCATTGCTTTACCGTAGACATTATTTCACCACTAGAAAAGGCTCACTCAAACAATTACAACACCAATGCAAACGATTGTAAGATGATATTAAAAGAAGTTGCACGTGTCTTCATGTTTATATTTAATGAATCAATTTAATTTAATTAAAAAAAATTCTTTAGTAATAGTTAAATTCAATAAAGAATGACAAATAAAAAAACTCGAGATAACCCAAGTCATTTTAAAAATTAATGATCAATCAGATAAAAAACAAATAAAAAATAGATTTTAATCTCTATTTTAGTAAATATTAAAGGATGAAATTGAAAATCGAGCTTCTTAAATAAGCTCAGATCTATAATTTAACAACTTTTGAATTTGGGATATTAACCAAGGTTTAAGAGATTTGCTTTTTTTTTTTCTTTTTAAAGGATATAATCAGTTATATGAAAAAAATTAAAAGAGGATGAAATAAAAAAAATTACAAATTATTTTATATAAAATAAATAGTAATCAAAAGAACATGTATGAAGTTTGAAGGAAAAACAAATTAAAGAGCTGTTTTGAAAATTTAAAAGGTCATGTGTGAAAATCAACGAGAGAGAAAAGAAGAAAAATACACCACTAGCGCCAAATCTGGGATTAATTGGTCACACGTGTTTCCATGAATTAAGAGGTAACATCGCTTAGAAAAACCAGTATTTGGTTACTAGGAGATATCATATGCGTCACTTGAAAACTAGCATTGTTGGTAATGGTAATGAAAATAGAGATTTCATCGTTCTTTAGTTTTTTTTCCCATCATCCTTCTATTTTTTCCCCTCAAACTTGCACCTTATTTTTTTAATTATTATTTTTTTACTTTGATTTTTTTTAAATTAATGTTTTTTTTTCCAGTTTCATCTTTCAATATTAAATTAATTGAGAATTGAAATTCTTGATTGAGATTGAATCTAGGATCTAATAGGTAATGAGTTTGGGATATTAACTCAAGTTTAAGACATTCACCTTTTTTTTTTTTCTCTTTTTTAAAACTCATGTTCTTTTAGTTCTATCCTTCGACTTTTATTTAATTGGAGATTGCTTTCCATTATTTTTTATTTTTTTATAAAATTTTTCACTGATTTTAAAAATAACTCATATTATCTCAAGTCTTTTTATTTATTGTTCTTTATTAAATTTAGCTTTTTTTTAAAATAAATTCTGATTTAAAATTAAATTAAATTAGTTGATTAGATATAATCATGCTTAATTCATGATATTTTATTTGATTTTATTTTTTTGATTGTTACTTTGACGATACGTGCAAACCCTTTCGATATCATCATACAATCTTTTGCATTAGTGTTAAAATTGTTTTGGTGAATTCTTTTTAGCGGTTGGGTAATGTCTATGATGAAGTAATAGTAAATTTTCAATAGGTAACCTTTAGAGATAACTTAATTAGTTAGATATTGAGTTTATTCTCTAATAATCACAAGTTTGAGTTATTTTATTGCTACTGGAGATTTATATATTCATTAATTTTAAAATATGTAAAATTAGTGAAGATGTGTGGAAGATGACTCGAACATCTACTTTAATAAATAAATAAAAAATCTTCAATATGCCCATTTATTTCTTTTAAGTATAATATTATCAACTTATTTTTTTATAATTAATTTGTTTCCACTTTATTTACTATCAATATATATTTTTAATTAAATGATTAATTTAATCAAATTTATTAAATCAATCAATTCAATGAATTACATCTCAGATTTTTCTCATTTCTTTGAAAATAATAGCATAGCTGAACATCAATTTTCATTTTTTCAAAAAATTTGACGCTCTTGTAGCACCTACAAAGGCACGTTTGAACCATTCTTTACATGATAATAATCAGTGTTCGAATTAATCCTCCACTTTCTCGAAGATAACAAATCAATCCAGTCCACCACCAAACCAAACATTCCCAAAATTCGAACCACCTCGTTTACCATTACCAACAATGCCAGTCTTCAAAACCCCATTCAATGGCTACTCCGTCAAATTCAGCCCATTTTACGAATCTCGTCTCGCCGTCGCCACTGCCCAGAACTTTGGAATCCTCGGCAACGGTCGTCTCCACGTCCTCTCCTTACCCCCAGCACCCTCCTCCCCTCTAACCGAACTCATCTCCTTCGACACTGCTGATGGCATCTACGACCTTGCCTGGTCTGAATCCCACGATTCCCTCTTAATCGCAGCTGTGGCCGATGGCTCCGTCAAGCTTTACGACACGGCCTTACCTCCAACACAAAACCCACTTCGTTCACTCCAGGAACACACGCGTGAAGTTCACTCAGTCGATTACAATCCCACGCGCCGTGATTCTTTCATCACCGCTTCCTGGGATGACACGATTAAATTATGGACCCTTGACAGGCCGGCGAGTATTCGTACGTTTAAAGAGCACGCGTATTGTGTTTATTCTGCTGCGTGGAACCCGAGGCACACGGATGTTTTTGCATCTGCTTCCGGGGACTGTACTGTGCGAATCTGGGACGTGCGTGAGCCGGGAAGTACGATGATTATTCCAGGTCATGATTTTGAGATTTTGTGTTGTGATTGGAATAAATATGATGATTGTATTATTGCTACTGCATCGGTGGATAAGAGTATTAAAGTATGGGATGTAAGGAGTTTCAGAGGTCCTTTATCTTATGTTTTGTGATGGACCAAACAAGTGCTATCGAATAAGCATAACATTAAGAGTTAATGCCTTCAGTGTACAATAGAAATGAAATGGACATTAATTGATAATGCTATTTATCAACCTCTCTATTGTTGAATTACATGCATCGCCATGCATTATGTTTGACTGATTGAACAATCTATATGCATTAGATCATGGCACTTTACTTGGTTAGTTAACGGGGGAGAGGGATGTTGGGGAGGTAGGATCATGCTTGGTTTGCAAAACCATCATTCTGTTGTATCCAACTTTGTGATGCTTTGACCTTTTGTTGTTTTCATTACATCCTTTGCAAAATATAAATCAGCATGGCATACAACCCCTGGTCTGTTTAATATTTTTAATTTACAAATGCTGTTATTAAGAGTGCTAAAATCACTATATGATTATTAATTAATCTACTCTTTGCGGAGTGCTTCTTTAATTGAAATTGAAAGGATGAACTAAGGGTATCTAGTGGAGTTGATTCTACTTTGCAATTTTTGTTCTTCCTATCTCATATTTCCTGAGTCCTTGAATAGCACCGATTTCTTTTTGATAAATATTTTTAGTTAGGATTCCTCTATAGCAAGTCTATGTGTTTCATGTACAGGATTTGCAGATTCTGTGCAAGATCATATTTGATTTTGGGGTTTGAGATTAGATGTTATGCTTTTGTCACCATATTCTTGTGTTGAATTTAGGTGTAAAAAATTGCATTTACCAGTGAGATTCTTGCTCTTTGGGGTTACACAAGTTTCATTGTTGATAAGAAAAGGAGAAAAAAAAGAGACAAGGTTGGGATCAGGCCCTCGTGTTATATTTAAGTTTTAGTTCTTTTATATAGAAATTCGATTGTTGAATAGTGTATGGGAGAGGATCTACTCTTTTTAAGGTTACTATCTTAGCCTAAGGGGTAGTCTAAATCCTATGCAGATAGAATTTGGCCTCTATGCAAGGGGAAAGCCACCTGTTCTCATTTTAGCTTCCAATCACCTAGGAAGACCTTTGATTTCCTGTCAAGATATGTTTCTTTATCCAAAAACTTATAAGCATTTATCTTTTGCTTGTGGTGTTTGGATGGCTTTAAAAGTGACCTCATGTTATGGGTTGGAGATTCAAACCAACTGTAGTGCAATATATGAACTGTTTATATAAATAGCTTCTTTGTGTTTATTTTTTGGATATCCAAAAACATGAAGGGATGATGGCTTTTCAAGGCATGTCACAAGTTAGTTGGGTTTGTTTGAAAACCAACCCAGCTTCAAAGTTGGATTAGCATCTTCCTCCTCAACACAATACCTCAGACATGAAGTGGTTATTCCAGGTTAGGCTTAAACTGTTTTAATACACATGCAGAAGCTGCCCGAGCTTGATTTGCAGTAGATGGGTGCATAGAAGCTCTTGGAGTTTGTTTGCCTAGAGCTGAGAGATGAGGGTTTACGTAGTATAGCTCATGATGTTCCCTAGCTCATATTGATTGTGTTGGAAAATTAACATGCTGTTACATTTCCTCTTGAACTGAATCTGTTGAATTTTTATTTTTTTAATGAGAATCTTTGGATGGTGTCTCTCTGCATGTTAGAGAATCTGATGAGCAAAGTGGCATCGCAGAAAGCCATTGCTTTTCTTTCACATTAGCACCTGGCTCGCTATGATGCCTAGACAACTTGTTATCTTCTTACTTACATTCCAGAGTGATTAGGAAAAAAAAGTCGTTACACTTTGGCCTTTTGATAGATTTGTTTACTATCTTGTAGTGCGCATGTATCAGGTTTTCCTAAGTGGATGAGATCAGGTGAAACTAATGCGGTTGAAGTGGCATTTATTTCATGTGATAACTGAGATGGGTGGTATTGTTGAATTAGAGGAGTAAATGGCATTTATTTCTAATGAAGTTTTAAGTATACCATGGATGTATTTGAACTGAATTTAGTCAAGTAAAGCTGCTGAATTCCAAAACTTGGCTAATTGTGCAAAGTCTATCCATTTTAAATCATTTTGCTTGTTAGCTCCTTATTAGTCACTGATAGTAGTGTTGAAGTATGGTTTCTAAGTATTTGCAACCGTTGACGAGGTCCTTGGTAGAAGCAGGGATCATAATCTAGGTGTGCGCTTAAAAAATCAGATGCATTCCTGTTTTCAGGTAGTCTTGTAAAAGTCCAGGCAACAAATGTGTTATGGTGCTGGGTTCCATGAAATACAGGCAATTTTTGCAATTGCTTTTGTGCTGTAGGTAGTTATCTCAGACAAACTATTTTCCTAGGATGACAAGTTTGTAAAGAAAACTGGGAAAGCGCTTAAGCCACTTGGTTCTTAAGCCAACCTCCTTCCAGATTAAGCATTCTTCTGACATTTGGTTGGCTAGCAGATGGCGCCATCACAATTTAGCCATCGTGTTGGATTCAGACTAACTGTATAGCGTAGAAGTTTTTGTGGTGACCCTCTCTCTTTCCCTGCAACTTACTTCAACTGTCAATTTATTGAACTGAGTAGGATTCATGAAATTGTAGATGAGTGTCTTTCCCTGCAACTTCACCTGTCAATTTATTGAAATGAGTAGGATTCATGAAATTGTAGATGAGTAGTCATTGCTTGGAATTCACTTTTAGATTCTCTGTTGTCATTTTAGGCCTGGTGAGTGATTTCTTGTTGAATGAATTTGGTGTGTAAGATACAATTATTGTTCTTCATCTGTATTTTTTTTTTTAAATAAAGCTGTCCTATTTCACCTGCAAATTTATTAATATGAAGGCCTACAAAGCTACAACTTATTGGTGATCTTCACCTACTTCATTTAAAAGGGCATATGTAAAGTAATCAATGTGTGTAATAGTGATTTTTGAAGGGACTTGGGTTAGTAGTTGCAACAGGAAGAGAGGATTTATAGGTGTCTTGAAGTCATGTACTTTTTGTTGTATTCTGTTTTTGACTTCTCTTGTTTCTTTTTTAATAAAAAAAATACAAAAAATTGTTTTCTTAGTAAAACCTAGTCAATTTTTCAAAAGCATCAAGGACTTTTAATGATATGAAGAGCAAAGAAAAGCAAATATATATATATATATATATATATATATATATAAAAGAAAAGCAAATATGATGAGCAGAAAAAAAAAATAAGCAGAAAATATGAGTGACAAAAAAAGAAGAAGAAATGAAATAAAATAAAGATAAAAATTAAGGGAAAAAAAAAAGAACAAATAAAAAAAATAACGAGTGCATATTAAAAAATAAAACAAGTCAAAATTCTTAAAGAAAAAAACTAAAATAAAAAAAGATTCAATTTAAAAAATATAAAAAATAAAATAGAATCTACAAAATAAAGATTACCCACACACCGTCTCACCTTATAACTCTTTCTTTTGATAGAATCCTCCAACAAATAACATAACCCATTAAACCTTTCATTTTCTTATGAATATTGCATTACAATCACTTTAGTATTGCTCAACCATTCTTTTCTTCTCTCTAAAACACTAATCATGCTCTTTTTTATTGCAATTCTCTCTTAAACTAAAACTCAATCTACAAACTAACACTATAACTACAGTAATAACTCTTAAACAACTTACATCACTTCTTTATCCATTCTTTATCCACAATCACTAAAAACACCCTCACTCTAGCTACATAAACAAACCCTATCATAAACTGATCAAAACTTTTTTCACAATTAATAACAATACCAGCATAGAATCACATCACAACCATCACTATATCACCAAACCATTACCACTACAATTGTCAAGTTACCACCAAACCCAAACAAATAAATATCAAAGTTAGTTCGATAATGAGGGTATTTTTAAAAAAATAATTTCTAGATTTTGACTAATCATTACTGTCAATAAGGTTCTATGAGAGTGTTTTTTTCCCTACTTTTCTCTCTATGGTGGCTAGGGTTTTTGATGGAAGAGATTATGTTTTTTTATATGATGTCTTCCCCTCTTTTATCTACACTATTCACTCTTTTTTGTATCCTTCTACATAGTAATGTTTTTTTTAATCATTTATTCTAAGTATATCCTAAGAATATCCCTATTGTATATGGTAATATAGTCTTTCATTCCTCTTATTTTGCACTTTAGCCCTTTTCCCATTTTGCTCCTTATTTAATTTTTTATTTTCTCATTTTGATTTTTTTGAAAAAAATATTAAAGTCAGTTAAATAAAAAAAAAGCAATTAAGAATTATGAAATTGACGTGTTAATGACTAAAATGTGTTGAAAACATATTTTTAATTTTGATTTTTTCAAAAGATGTTAAGATTTACAAAATTGGAGCACACATGTCATAAACATATTTTTGAGTTATTGAGTTTTTTAAGAAGACATCAACAAGAGAAAATAGTAAAAAACAAATCACAAAATAGGTACATGAATGGCCAAAATGCATTGAAAACATAATATTTGAATTTGTTTGCCTTTTGATTTTGGAGTTTTAGAAAATATTTTGTAATTGGCATTCAAAATTGGGTTATGAAAAATGACTATAAGTCACTTTTCCTTGTTCAAGTTTAACTATTTATATCGAATTTTATCCCATGTTGATTCATTAGACTTGTTTCCATCAATACCCTCAATGATGAGATTTTTACTTCTACATACATCATTATCTCCATTCCACATAGTAGAGAATAAAAGTTGCTACTATTAATGTTCTAATTATCGTATGGCATGCATGAACACATAGGAAAGAATTTCATGCCAATCTTTATAAATGACAATAATTTTCTAAATGATCTTCTTTAGGTTCTTATTTACACCTTTTACAATTCTTTTTCATCTTATGTCAATATGTTGAAGATAAAAGATGTTCAAGTAATACAAGCATATTTTAAAAAAGTAAAACAAATTCATGACTTAAGCTATAGATTTGATTAAGTCAAATAAGATGATATTATTTAATTAGATAATAAAATAACATGTAC